CATATAACAAAGTATTTATTTCTCAGAATAAACATCTTATTTGCTCACAGCTTCGTACATGATATTTTTCAAAGCGCATGCCAATAACTCACAATCAATAAGTGACTCACAGGTAAAGCCATCGCTTTCACGTATCGCTTTTACCGCATAACACATTTCAGTAATATTTTTCTCTTGAAGAACATTTACAAAAGTTTGAAATTTTGAACTAACGAGATACATATTTTCGGACAACCACTTATAAAGGGTGTCCCAAAATTCATGCAAGAAATAATTTTGATAGAAAACAGGTTTATAATTAAAAATTGTATATTTTTTATTGATTCATAAAGTATACAGTATAGGGTTATGTATGGAATAGCATATCGGGTAAATGGCCTCCACGGCTTTGCTGGCACATATGCACTCTTTTGTTGAAATTTTCCATGACCGTTTTGCATAAATGTGGCTGAATTTCGTTGATACAGCGCTCAATTTCTTCCTTCAAGGCGTGGGTGGTAGTGGGCTTGTTGGCATAAACCTTAGACTTCAAAAAACCCCAAAGAAAAAGTTCAACGGCTTTAAATCGCATGATCTGGGCGGGCAAATCTGAACACCAAAACGGGAAATTACACGACCAGGAAATGACTCATGCAGTAATTGAATTGTTTCTCGGACTGTATGGCATGTGACACCGTCTTGTTGAAACCACATGTTGTCCGCATTCATATCTTGCAATTTAGGCACAAAAAACTAGATTATCATGTCGTGATAGCGAGCACCATTAACTGTTATTGCCTGACCAACCGCATTTTTGAAGAAGAATGGTCCGATGATGCCCCTAGCCCAAAATCCGCACCAAACAGTGACACGTTGTGGATGCATTTGTTTCTCAATAATCACTCGTGGATTTTCTGAACCCCAAATGCGACAATTTTGTCGATTAACGAAGCCATCAAGATGAAAATGAGCCTCATCGCTGAAAATGATTTTGTTCGACAAACTTTCATTATTTTTAAAATATTGCTCAACAATGAAAACACGTTGTTCTTTCGTGTAGCACTCCATTTAAAAAACCCTCAACTGTCAACTGTCACGCTCTTTTTTTTGTTGGCAACACTTTACCGCACAAATGGCGCAAAATTCAAATCTTGCGTGAATTTTGGGACACCCTTTACATATGATCAATGTTCATAAGTAAATAACATGTTCATGGTAGCAGGTTTCAAATACGTAGGCAGTCTGAACAGTTCTCGGCCTAACAATGAAAGAAAATTTTTTTTGCCGTGAAATATATTTTATTTTTCAATATAATCTCCTGAAACTTCAATACATTTATTCCAACGTTTTTCCAATAATTCAATACCATTATTAAAGTGTGATTCCGGAAGGTCTGCAAAATATCCATCCACGGCTGCAATAGCTTCGTCACTTGATGTAAAATGCTTTCCAGCTAGGAATTTTTTCAGGTTTGGAAACAGGTAATAGTTAGAGGGAGCCAAATCTGGTGAATACGCTGGATGTTCAAGCAATTCGTACTTTAATTCGTTGAATTTTGCCATTGTCAAAACACTTGTGTGAACACGTGCATTGTCTTGATGGAAAACGATTCTTTTCTTCTTTAAAGCAGGCCTTTTCTCACGAATTTTTGCATCCAATAGATCCAAAAGGTTACAATAATATTCAGAGTCAATCGTTTTATCTTTCTGAAGATAATCGATCAACAAAACACCTTTGTAATCCCAAAAAACTGTTGCTATAACCTTTCCTGTTGATGGAACCGCCTTTGCCTTCTTTGGTGCACGTCCACCGGCTTCGATCCATTGTTTCGACTGTTCTTTTCGCTCTGGTGTATAGTGGTGGATCCAAGTTTCATCAACAATTATGAAACGAAGCTTGAAACCCATTTAATTTTGCTTAAAACGATCCAAACATGCTTGAGAAATACGCATTCGAATGCGTTTTTGGTCAATTGTTAGCAAATGCGACACCCATCTTGCACAAAGCTTTTTCATATGTAATTCTTCATGCAAAATATTTTCAATTCGTTCTTTTGAGATGCCTATGGCCTCAGCTATTTCACGCATTTTCACTCGCCGATCATCTAACATCATATCATGGACTTGTTGAATGTTTTGTGGTGTTGTAGCAGTTTTTGGACAACCTTCGCGTGGATCATCTTCGAGGCTTGTACGACCAGATTTAAAAAGAGCAGCTCATTTTTTCACAATGAAAAGTGAAGGTGATGCCATCCTTATACACAATTTCGGATGAATTCCTGTTGGTGTTAAACCATCCAAAACAAAAAATTTAATCACTGCACGATATACAATTTTTTCTATTTTAAAAAAGACAGTGACACGTCAATATTAAACTGGTGCTACTACTCGAATGACTTAACAGATCGAAATAAAATTTTACATGGGTTTATATCAGGGATGCCACTTTCCAATGCAATTATAGTTTGACAGCTTCTAATGCCATCTATGTGTCAGGCCGAGAACTTTTCAGATTGCCCTCGTACAAACACTTAGGAGATAGCGTTCCGGCGTTGTCATAGGCGACAAACACCTCTCCCCCCTTCATGGGATGTGAAAGAAGGGGCAAACAATTCCTTCTTCTTTAAGAAGAGGGAGTGCCCGACGGCTAGGGGACTATTTCTTTCCGTAACCGCCGAGTAGGAGGGTGGGGCGAGGATTCCTGGTGTCCCAAACCAGCCCTCCCAACGTAGGGTGGCTGGCTGATTCGGTGGGTCAGTCAGCCACACAACGGTACCTTGGCGGCGCCCCGCCTGGCTGGGAACGGTGGTTGAAGCGCAGGCGTTGCCGGCTTCCCCCTTCCCAGCCACAGAGGTGGGGCGTGAGGAGTGGATGGGGAAGCGGTGGTTGAAGCGAGCCTCGGTTTACTTCCCCCCTCCCCCTGGGGGAGCGATGGTTGAAGATGAGCTATGGCTCGCTTCCCCCCTCCCCCACCCACCCCTCGAGGAAGACGATGAAGTTATCTGGACTCGGGGCCCCAATACGCAGTTATGTAGGCACCGGGGCCCCGATCCAAGTCCCTTCGCAGCGCCACCCGGGGTGGTTTTAACCGGTAAGAGTCCGGCATAACCCTGGCCCTTCCCCGAAGGTCAGGGTATCCATGATGGATTTCCTCCTCGTAAAAAAAAAAAAAAGGGTTCGTCCGTCGGCGAACTCCGCTGAACATACTTAGTCTCTAGGCGATCCGTCTAGCGATCAAGAACCCGGGACGGTGCGTCCGCCGTCTCCGCTGAGTGTCCGTAGCACTTGGTCGCTCTCCTCCGCGAACGTAGGGAAAAGGGAAGGTGCGTACACCTTCTCCGTCGAAAGTCCTCGGCTCCGACGGACGAAATCATTGCGCGTATTCCGCGACTTGCGTGCGTGCGTTCGATCGAGAGTCGAAATCTCCGGTCCGGTGACCATCTATACGCGAGCGATTGCGAGCCAAGTATTGGGCAATAATTGTCCGAGACGCCCAGCGTCGCGAAGCGAGACCGATCACTGCGCCGTTACCGTCGTTACCATCTACACGCGTCGCGCAATAAGCCCCGCCTCCTGCGCGGCCTATCCGTCCGTGCACACGCGTGTACCGCACACCGCACCGCACCGTACCGTACCAACGCGCTTAATAGACGCGACCCGCGACAACGCCTTGTATAGGGCCGAACTCTTGTATATAAGTCAGCATAGAATAAATCTAAGTTATTTATATTTCCACTTTCAAGTGTCTCGCTGCTTTCCTCCTCCTCGAACCCGGACTCTGACGAGCCTTATCCACGTACAATGCGTAGCGACGACGGAACCGCGGAGTTCGGCCGTTACAACACAATTCCACTATTAAATCTCGAATCTGTAGCGGAAAGTTCGATGGTTTGTTCGTTTCCAGAAATTGTTCTATAACAACACGTTTTCCCATCAGTTTTCCTCAAGTTGCTGTATGTAATATTAGTTGATTACCGCGATTGTCACCGAGGACTATTTCCACGGTGGGCACAAATTGTACACTAATTCCAATTTTTTAATATTTATATGACGTTGTAGTCAAAGCGTATCTGCATCCCAGGACACTAGTAGCATGACGTGACTCAGGAATGCTATAAAAATATATAATAAATGTTATGTACATTTAAAAATTCAACCGTGAAAGTGCGCATAAAGTACCAAATTCACATTGATACTAATAGTATGAGGGTAGGTATGGCCAGTCAAAACATTCTCCCTCCACTCGACCCTCCGGCGCCACTAGACCACGCCCATCGGCGCTAGAGGGTCGAATGGAGGGGAAACGTTTTGAGTGGCCATACCTATCCCCAAGGCTGAAAATGGCGGAAAATTGAATCACCGGAATAAAAATTAGCTGAACATTAAATTTTTATTATTCATATTAGGCGTTGTTGTGATTCTAGCTCTTGGTCAGTTGGTTAATTTGCATATTATTTTTGGAAAAGTCTCTTAAGGCACTCTGCGAGGCTTGAACCCGGGACCTACACCTCAGGCTCTTGGAGTCAAATGTCTTACCACTGCTCTACTGCTACTCCGTGGTAGAAACTGGTTTCACGGCGTACACGTAGAAACGGAGGTAGAACGGAGGTGTGTGTGTGTGTGTGTGTGTGGTTAGTGCGAAGTCTCTGGAAAAATCCTGTAGGCCTGGCCGGATTCGAACCTGGGTCCGCTGGCTTTCGGGTCAAGCGTCTTATGCACTACGCTGCTGCTATACCCTGATGGAAACTAGCTATATTGTGTACATACGAAGAGTATTGACGTCACGCGTAAAAAATTTGGTAAATTCTAGAACCTACGGGACTCGGGCCCCCACCATGAGACTCCGGCACTCGACTCTCATGAGCGTGTGCGAGCATGTTCGAGAAGGTAGGGATCGTTTCGAAGACAAAAACTACCCAGCGATTGTTAGTCGCCGTGCGCTCGAGATAGCACTAGAGATGTCACTTCCGAACGACATCTCTCAACGTTATCTAGGGAGAGGAGAGTGTCGTGAGCGTGGAGCGTCAGATAGCTCAGTGGTCTAGAGCAGTCGCCCGACAAGCGAAAGATCCGGGTTCGATTCCCGGTCTAGCGACTACCGCGCTCTCGATATTTTTCTCTCTTCGGAAAAAAAATAAGATGCAGGTCTCGAACGCACGGCGTCCCGTCGCCACCCCTAATACGCCCTCCTTCTTTCATGGTGAATCACCCCCTTCGGCGCGTTGCAAAAACGTATCCAAGCGCCAGAGGGTAGCCAAAATATGGTGTCGACCCTGGGGCTTATTTCTATTATTTGCACCGGATAAGGAGGGGCAACGGTGGAGGCGGATATACATGGACAGCAGGTCTTAAAGGATAGCAACCTTTGACTTTGAGAGACACCAGCTTGTGCCACTAGGTACAAGTAACAATGCCTCTCTCTGTAGTCGCCGTGCGCTCGAGATAGCACTAGAGATGTCACTTCCGGGCGACATTTCTCAATGTTATCTAAGGAGAGGAGAGTGTCGTGTGAGCGTGGAGCGTCAGATAGCTCAGTGGTCTAGAGCAGTTGCCTGGCAAGCGAAAGACCCGGGTTCGATTCCCGGTCTAGCGACTACCGCGCTCTCGATATTTTTCTCTCTTCGGAACGAAAATAAGATGCAGGTCCCGAACGCACGGCGTCCCGTCGCCGTCTAGTACGCCCTCCTTTTTTCATGGTTTCACCACTGAGCTATCTGACGCTTCCACGCTCACGACACTCTCCTCTCCCTAGATTAACGTTGAGAGATGTCGTACAGAAGTGATATTCTCTAGTGCTATCTCGAGCGCACGGCGACTACAGAGAGAGGCATTGTTACTTGTACCACCTAGTGGTACAAGCTAGTGTCTCTCAAAGTCAAAGGTTGCTATCCTTTAACCATGAAAGAAGGAGGGCGTACTAGGTGGCGACGGGACGCCGTGCGTTCGGGACCTGCATCTTATTTTCGTTCCGAAGAGAGAAAAATATCGAGAGCGCGATAGTCGCTAGACCGGGAATCGAACTGGGGTCTTTCGCTTGCCGGGCGACTGCTCTAGACCACTGAGCTATCTGACGTTCCACGCTCACGACACTCTCCTCTCCTTAGATAACGTTGAGATGTCGTTCGGAAGTGACATCTCTAGTGCTATCTCGAGCGCACGGCGACTACAGAGAAAAGCATTGTTAGTTGTACCTAATGATACAAGCTGGTGTCTCTCAAAGTCAAAGGTTGCTATCCTTTAAGACCTGCTGTCCATGTATGCCGGCCTCTTTCCACAAGATTGAGAAAAAATCTTCCGAGAGGTAACAGTACCACGCTCCCGTCACCTAACGATCAACTTTGGTCTAAATGTAAGATTGTCTAGACGTCGCTTGAGAAAAAGGATGACGAGGATAGATGGGCGCTGTTTGTAACAACCAATGAGAATAGAAATAAAACGTGTATGAGCGGTGACGTTTCTAAATCAACGAATAAAAGATGCATAATAGATTGGAACCCGTTAGAATTGGGTATAGCTTCTTCAATGGCTAACAGTTATGCACATCGACTTCCACCAACGAAGGGGCGAACGTGCAAGCGTGCTATCGGGGAGACGTCTCTCGCGGGAGAAGAACGCGTGGGTGTGTACAAGCAGCATTTATAACTTCTGATCAATATAGGCGTAAAACGCGAGTGAGCAACAACGCATCTAAATCAGCGAATAAAAGACGTTTGATCAATTGGAACACACTGGAATGACCGATCTCGCAAAATTCTACTACGATCCTGCACATTATGATGGATACTCTGCGATAAAAAATCTTTTGCGAACAACAAGACCCGGCTCCGCCCGTAAAGAGATTATTCGTTGGCTTCAGTCGCAAGATGCATACACACTTCATCGACCGATACGACATAAGTTTCCACGTTTACATTACAACGTCACGAATATCGACGATCTGGGAGGTCGATTTTATCGAGCTCCCTAATCTCCGAAATTACAACGAAGGCTATTGTTACTTGTTGACAATCATTGATGTGTTTAGCAAATTTGTCTGGGTGGAACCAATACGAAGCAAGTCTTCGACCAGCGTGACGGAGGCTTTTCGTCACGTACTCTCAAGAAACGGAGGGCGGATACCGGCGTGGTTGCAGAGTGACAAGGGTAAAGAATTCATCGGTCAAACATTTCAAAATTTTCTGAAGGAAAAGAACATATGTTTTCGCACGGTGCGAAATCCTGATGTCAAAGCAGCGGTCGAATGCTTCAACAGAACGCTCAAAGAACGCTTATAGCGCTATTTTACACACAAAAATACATATCGTTACATAGATGTTTTGCAAGACATCGTGCCCGCTTACAACCACACTTGACATTCCACCATTAAAATGGAACCGGCAAGCGTCACGTTGGACAACGCACGCCTTGCTCGTGAACGTATGCAGCAGCGATACCACCATCTCGATGAACTCGATCGAAGAAATCATAGCCGAGGAGCTAAATACAAAGTGGGTACATTAGTGCGAGTCAGTAGAGCGAAAGGAGTTTTTGAGAAAGGATATGAGGCGAATTGGACGGAAGAAATATTTCGGATTCACCGTATTTACGAATGGCGAAATCCTCGTGTATGCGAATTAAGTGATCTGTCAGGTGAAGTGATTGACGGGATATTCTACGAACAAGAACTGACCAGGGTAAATAATAACTTACAAGAAGAAGAGTTTATCGTGGATAAAGTGATACGACGCAGAGGACGAGGAGCTAATAAAGAATTATTCGTCAGCTGGCGAGGTTACCTCTCTAAATTTAAGTCTTGGATACTTGCTTCGAACCTAAAGTTGCTTCCAAACCATGATGGGGAAAGACCGGTTCCTCATGATTCTACCGAGCAATAGTAGCATGCGGCACTATCCAGAAAATACAACTACTTCATTTATTACCTCAAGGAATTGCCTTAAGGAGTGAAACTGACTGGTTTATGGGAAGTTGCGTTTACCGAAATTCAATTCCCCTTTAGTTTTTTACACGTGTGTCCCGAGGAAGATACAGAACTCAAATTCATTTCGTTGCCACATGAAAATATTAATACTAAAAGCGTAAAAAAGATGAATACCAGCTACCCAAATTCGGGGTTACCCGCATAACTCCGGGTGTTTACGCCACGATGAACTGTTACATGAACAGTTCGATGAACGAACTGTTACAGGCTTTAAACAACGCTAGCTCAGTGCTCAAAACACACATTGCTTGGCGCCAAGATCCTCATCATGGTGGTAAAGTAACGCTGTACTGCACGTGCGATATTAAAGAATGCAATAGACTTCATTTCGTGAAGTTTTCTGACAAAGTGGCTCGTATGCTTGGTTTCAATATGTATAGACCCAACGAAGAATTAATTCATTTTAACTTGTCGAAAATTATACAGGGACGTGTAGCGTACTATCCCAATACTAATCGTAATGTGAATCCCCAGAAAGCTGGAGAAGAAAAGTTTTACGCTTTCACCACGTCAAAACGTAAAATTATGTCCGATGAACCAGGTAGTGTGGTGTGGGGTGTACCTGATAAACTCTTTGTTTATTGCGATATTTGCGAGTTCTATATAACGGGAGACGTGAATTCTCCTCTTCTCCGAGTGGTTTCCGTCGACTACAACGATGGTAAATATGCCTACGAATATATATCATGGTAAAACATTTTTCGCCGCCGAATTATATTCCATTGCGATTAACATGTTTCCGCACGATCGAAATAGATATAAGAGATCAGGTTGGCGAAAGAATACCATTTGAATTTGGGACGTTGACAGTTACATTACAATTTAGACGTCGAGATTAGAAATAATTATTCCGTATTAGAACACATAGATATGATACCTTATTTAGAATATTACGAAGCACAAATCGGGAGAAATCGTGGGGGTGGAATTCCACGAGTATTCGTAGGATCGCGGTATCAGAGCGATCACGGTATCGGTAGTTTTCTCGGTGGTTTGTTTAGACGGGTGTTGCCTTATTTAACCAGTGGTGCGCGTGTCGTTGGAAAAGAAGCTCTACGCGCAAGAATTAGTATACTCGATGATGTGGGGAATAACACACCATTGAAAATAGCTGTTAAAACGCGCCTCAAGGAATCAGGCTCAAATCTCAAAAGAAGAGCGGGGGAACACATTAACAATCTGATGAAGGGATCGGGATATAAAGTTCCTGCGAAAATCAGAAAAGCTTAGTTTCCTTTCAACACGCCAAGCGGATACAGCAGTAAATCATTTTCGCGCAAACATCGGGTCAGCGCTTCTAAATCAAGTAAAAGGAAAGTGACTCGAAGAAACGCACCGGGGAAGAAATCGGGTAAGAAGCTAGCGAAGAAACCCATGAAGAAGAAGCGTTCAGTGAAAAAAAGCGGGAGAGGACTCATTAAATGTCGGGGAGTTATCAAAAAGCGTACTGTGTCAGACATTTTTTCCTAAACAACAAACGCGTGCTTTCCAAGCATGTCCTTTCTTCATACGCATTCCTGCGAATGTTTAAAGAGTGAACTCCATCTCTTCACCCTACTGCCTACACAAACCAGTATTGAGAGTCCACAATGGATTCACTACAAACCCGTGTCTTCTCTCATGGACGACGCGCCTGTCGAATTCGTCGTACCCGGGCATGGAGAAGAATACATAGATCTTGCTCATACCATGCTGTCGCTATGCATACGAGTAGAAACGGAAACCGGAGCAGGAGCTGCTGCCGCAAAAGTAGGCCCTGTAAACCATATACTGTATTCGATGTTCAATCAAATCGACGTATATTTCAATCAAAAGCTCGTGTCTCCTTTAAACAATGCTTACGCTTACCGCGCTTACATACAGGCGTTACTAAATTATGCTTCATCAGTAAAAACCTCCTACCTGGCTTCGTGCTTGTGGTACAGCAATACTGCAGGGAACATGAACGCTCTACCTGGAGTGACACCAAGCAATCATGGACTCGACAAGCGAGGCACTTTTGTACAAGGACGAACACTGGATCTCATAGATCATCTTCACTGCGACGTCTTCAATCAAGATAAATTCTTGATCAATGGCGTCGAAGTGCGCATGAGGCTTGTTCGTTCGAAAAATTCTTTTGTCTTATAGAGGGAAATACTATGTCACGGATACGCATTTTAGATGCTACACTACTCATCAGAAGAGCTAGAATAAACCCAGGCATATTACTCGCTCATACGAAAATGTTGATCAGGACTTCTGCTAAATACCTCCTCATGAGAGTCGAGGTTAAATCATTCACGATTCATAGCGGCGTCGTAGGAGAGACACTGGACAACGTCATTCTTGGACAAATACCAAAGCGCATAATTGTCGGCTTTGTCGATAATAAAGCGTTTAACGGTGCCCGGCATTTAAATCCATTCAATTTCTAGCATTATAGAATACATTTCTTTTCGTTGTATGTCGATGGTGCTCAAATCCCTAGCAGACCGTTATAACCCAAATTCTCTGGTAACGAGATACTCTACGCCGAGGCGTATCACACACTTTTCTCAGGAACAGGTATTCACTTTTTGAACGAAACTAATTCTATATCCAGAGAAGATTATCCTGCTGGTTATACTCTTTTCGCTTTTGATCTCACTCCTGATCTGTCAGCTAATTGCGAGGGTCAATGGAACCTTATGAAACATGATAGTTTACGAATGGAAGTACGATTCGAAAGAGCCCTCACAACAACGGTCAATTGCTTAGTTTACGCTGAATTTGAAAGTGTGCTGGAAATAGATTCTTCTCATCAAGTCATTGTAGATTATAGCGGTTAAGGGGATCCTGGAGTCGTCTGTTTTACCGACACATTGATTCAATTTTCTCAAACACTATTCTTTTTATTAGCTATACAGATTGAAAAATCCTTTTGTACAGCGAAAGTACTTATAATAACGAAGTACGGAACACAAAGTTTTATGTAAAATTCAATGAAAAATTACAAAATTACAGTTTCGTTATCATGTTTTGTGTCAGCTCGTAACTTTACTTATTAATTATGAAAGTTCTGCAGTTTATCCATGCAAAAGCTTTTGCTTCCGTACTAGCCATAATATGAAAGAATAAAACCGAAGTAACAGAAATGAGCTTAGAAGTCAGTGTAAAAAACATAGTGTTTGAGAAAAATGTAATGCATACGGAATTGTGTTTGCTACATTTTTGGATAAAACAGAACAGTAGATTAGTTCCGCATAATCATGATCGATGGAGCTGCAGGCAGACACAATCGTATTATCCTTGTCTGTTTCATGCGTGAAATAATGTTATGACAAGGAAACTGTAATTGTAAAATTTTTCATCAAGAGGCACGGTAGTGCCTATTATTAATTATTATTAATATTACGCGAAACTGCGAGTTGAAACGAGGTGAGATATTCATATCTCAGGAATGGTTGAACCGATCGACGTTGTTTTAGTCCCAATCGATTCAGCCTTAAAAAATAGGAAGAAAAGTGTTCTTGTGCTTTTTGTGTACGTTGTCTCTAAGTGGAGATATTTTAAGATTAAAGTCTGAATCACAGAAATTACGATTCAGTAAGAAAGTAAGAAAGAAACGCTAAATCGCCGAGGAGAGGGGATTTGTGTTTCTCGTTTTTCCGACACCAGAGGCGTTACGAGCTCGCTGAAGATGCAAAGAGCAGCGAGTGCGAGTGAGCAAGCGATAGAGAATAAGAGAGAAAAGAATAGACCGCCGAGGAGAGGGGATTTGTACTTCTCGTTTTTCCGACACCAGGGGCGCTACGAGAGCGCTGAATGAATAGTAGTATACATACATAACCCATAGTATGGTATACATACATAACCGATTTCTTCCTAATGTTGCGTATACGCAACACGAAGTTTATATAATTAATTATCAGTAATTATTTTTTTTCACGAAGTGTTAGACTAATTGTAAAATAAGTTCATTTTGACTGCATTTTGTGAAGTTAAACTTCGTGTTGCGTATACGCAACATTGGGAAGAAATGGTAGGTTAAGTACGCAACATCGGTGCATCGTCATTAGTGGGATATACATTAGTGATTGATTAGGATTTTTTTTATTAAACATCAGTGATTGATTAAGAATATATATATACATTAAGCACGTAACATCAGTGCATCGTCATCATCAGTGGAATACATTAGTAATTGATTAGGATATTTTTTGATTAAACATCAGTGATTGATTAAGAAGTAAGTATGATTATTAACAAAAATAATTATTAACAAAAGCATGCAAGGAAGTTTACGAATTTGCGCAGAAAGAAGCTTCGGACATTTCTGCTATAGAAAATCTCAAGGACTTCACACCGCCGCGAAAGAAGAAAAAAGCATCGGTTGTAGTCTATGCATTGCCGGAAAATACAACTTAAGAAGGACTCGGGTATGTTAAATTTTATACTATCCCCTCATCTTATTTGCCTCTAATTCATACGTTTCATTTGAATGAATAGGTGCTAATCACGTGCATAATTTTGCACCTTGTGATCATCCTGGCTGTCAGTGTGATAATTCATGCCCATGTATACAAGCACAAAACTTCTACGAGAAGTTTTATCAGTGCAGCAGCGAATGCCAGAACAGATTTCCTGAGTGTAGGTGCAAAGCGCAATGCAATACAAATCAGTGTCCTTGTTATCTGGCTGTCAGGGAATGTGATCTGGATCTTTGCCAAACGTATGGTGTAGATCATTTCCAAATCAATTCTAAATCTTGCAAAAATATCAGTGTGCAACGTCGTTTTTATAAGTTTCGAAAAGTTTAATTTATTAGAGTGAAAATCAATATAATCTCAATGAGTAGAATTTTTGATTTGAAATATACTTTATACAATTTGAAATATCAGCAGCGAAGAATGAATTCATCTAGAAATATTGCAGCGAAATTATCAATCAAAACGAAGCTGACAGGCGGCGAAAAGTATATGATAAATATATGTGTAGTTTCCTTTTTAATCTTAACAATGGTAAGTAGAGATAGATTTAGTGGTTAATTAAATGTTGAAAAATAACAAAACTTAAAAGTTTTTGGTCAGTTTCAGATTTTGTTATAGACGCGACACGGAAAGGGAATAAAATAAAGTTCGCTAATCACTCAATAAATCCAAATTGTTATGCAAAAGTGATGATGGTAAACGGTGATCATGGAATAGGTATTTTTGCTAAGAGAGCGATTCAACCTGGTGAAGAATTATTTTTTGACTATAGGTATGTTGCTGTAATGTTTTGTTTAATTTATTAATTGCAAACAATTAAAATTATGCAATAATTTTCAGATATGGACCAACGGAACAATTAAAATTCGTCGGTATCGAGCGAGAAATGGAGTTTCTTTAATATATATATTAATATATATATATATATTATATGGACTTTTACACGTATAAATGGTGCATCAAGCGAATACATAAAGCTGAAATGTTAGAAAGGAAATAAGCACTGCCTGATTTGTATGCCTCTCTACTTTTAATTATATTTTACATTTTCATTTGTCGGTCCAATTTTGCAAAATTGTAGTAATAGAGATTTTTTGCACATGTAGATAAAGAAACTTTTTGAAATATGTTCAAGTTTTTATGGACATCTCGAAACATAAAAATATCAAAGTAAAAATATACGTATACATGTTGTGAATAAATAAAATGATTTCAAACATCGATTTGAATATATCTCAAAAAGTTCCAACTATATTTCGCCTTGATACCATTATTTGCTTTGTTGTACATTTGATCGTAATGAATTTTTTACAATTATGTAAAACGCGAACTTATAATGATCGATAAGATATTACTTAATTTTAGTGTGATGATACTTAACTACTGAGTTTATTAAGATTCGAGAGTACATATTCAACTCCTGCCCCTAATCATGATACGATATATTAACAAAAGAAAATTTCGACTCAGTAATAAGATAAAAAAGAAATGTCGGACGCAAAGGAGTGGGGCTATGCGTGCATCGCTACGAGAGCGCTGAAGGAGCACATAGCAGCGAATGCGATATATATTTATAAATAATGTATTTATAATAAATATATATAATATAATAATAAATAATAAAATAATGATTTTTATTAGAAAAAGAGAGAATGAGAAAATGAGAGAATGAGAGAGGGAGAGTGCGAAAGTGTGAGAGGGTTTGGGAATGAGAAAAAGTCTGAGAGTGAGAGAGAAAAGGAGTGAGAATGGCAGAGAATAGGAGAGAATGGAAGAGAATGAGAGATAATGACAGTGAGAGAGAGTGGAAGAGTGAGAGAGCTTGAGAGAGTTTGGGAGTGAAAGAAAGTGTGAGAGTGAGAGAGAATGACAGAAAGGGTGAGCATAGGAGAGAATGAGAGAGAATGAAAGAAAATGAGAGTATGGGAGAGAATAAGAGAGGGTGAGACAGAGAGAGAGAGAGAGAGAGAGAGAGAGAGAGAGAGAGAGAGAGAGAGAGAGAGAGAGAGAGTGGGAGAGTGAGGGAGCGTGAGAGAGTTTTGGGAGTGATTAATTAAAACATTTATTAAAAAGGTTTTTTAATTTTATCATTTATTATTATAAATTGTATTTTATGTTATGCATTTGTTTCTTTACATAATGTTATATTATTTTTGTTCTATTCTACAATGTAACTATGTGCATATTATATATTTAGATTATTAATTGATCTTTGTAATTGATATTTTACATTTAGATTATTCTTTAATTTTGTTTACGTACGTATATAGTTTTTCTTCGATATGTCACTATGCAGTTTATCATCATATTAACAATTCCAGTTCATATTAACAATTTTAATGTCAGCTGCAGATGTATGAGTTCTAATGCAGCTTAATAACCTGGGCGCGCCAAGGGTTTTTTAATTTTTGGTGAATCTTCATAATTTTTTTTTCAATTCCTTGTATGTTTGGATTAAATTTTTTGTTTATTTTTTAATTTAATATAAAGTTAATAAGTTAACGCGCGTTACTTGCATTGTTGTTATTGTTAAAAATAGTAATAACCGTGACAACCCAGTAAATAGTATCATATAACTCAGTGTTCTAATAAATAATGATAAATTTTGTAAAGTTTATGTTATTGACATCTTTTGTAGTTAGTTTTTCTTGAATTTTCTTGAATAATAATAACCTTTAAAAAGATATCTTTTTTAAAAAATATTGAACACTATTAATAAACGTGTTAAATTTTTATAACACGATATCATTTTTACTTGTAAAAACTTATGTTATGTACATAATATATATTGTGACGTGGCAGCCGGAAAGGCGCCCGTCCCAGGCCGACCCTTCGGCCCTTAGGCGAGACTTTCGGGGGGGGGTGTCGCCTTGCACTCCCCCCCCCGTAGTAATTAGTGTCAGCAATCGAAGCGTGCAGGTGGAACGGTCCCGCGTCCCCAAGCTCTGTGCCCCTGGACCTCCCGCGCCGCCCATCAGGACCGAAGGGACAGGTGGAGGAGGGAAGAGGACGACGCTCTCGGCTGGACCGCCACCCCAGGTGAACGCAATCTTTTTGCAATGCTATTATCGGTTCCGTATCGTGGTGAAAGGTTCTCGCTGCCGCTTCCGTTGTCCACAGGCCTGCAAGGATATCGCGCCGAACGGTCGGCGTTCCCGTGCTTGGCGCGTGAACGCCGGCTAGACAAAGTCAGCCTAAACACAGAGACCGGGCGAGTGTGAGCAAGACAGAGAGAGAGAACGAGCAAGAAAGTGAGACCGAGCACCCGTCCCGCGGATCGAAAAACAAAGATCCGCGGAAGGATTCCCGTATAGGGAGATTTAACGAGGAACGGGGAAAGACAGGTAGCACGAGACAACACAAACGGACAAGAAAACCTGTCGGGAGAAGAAAATAAAAAGAAGAGACTCCCATTGTCGCGCTCTCTAATATCGCTGACCTGCTTCCGAGTATTACCGGAGGGATATCGACTACCGTGGAAAAGGAGATTGGTGAAGTTTGACGTTAGCGAGTGGAGGAATCCGGACGTACCCCTCGCCCTAGGAGGGAACGTCAGTGGCAGCGTTGCGCCAGAGCGAGCGGGCGGAGGAGAAAAGCGGAGGACCACGTCGCCGGGAGGTTCCCGATTCTGTAAGACCTTCCACCTGCGTTATTGTTATTATTTCGGTGTCGTGAACGTAGAGTCTCGTTAAAGTTATCGGCGTAGCGCAAAGTCTCGAATCCGTGAGAGCCAAACTGAGTGTACCGAGGGGTCGGACCGTTCCGATCCCCGAAATAATAAAACTGAAGATAGTCGAAGCGCGCCTCGTTGTTCGTGTATTTTCCCGGTCGCTCCCGACTTCCGACGAACCCTTCCCGCCTACCGACTTAAATATCGAAGAGCTACCGGTCCCGTCGACTTCGCGTGTCTCGGCCCTTTGGTGGCGTGTAGCGTAGCGTTGGTGAACGGTGCAGCCCGTTGCACCTGGCGCCCAACCTATTTCGTGAGAGCTGGGTTGGCCGAGGCGCGCGGACCGACAGCAGTTTGCCGACGGCGAGCGAGAGTCACGTCGCAATATCTTAAAAGAAGGAAATAATTTGAATTTGAGATTTCTAAAAAATATTAAGTATATGATTTCTCAGTTGGCGTTACTGTTTTAATATATCACTTCTTTTGTATAAGTTTTATTTGTAAAAACTTATGTTATGTACACATATATACTTAAAAAAGAAATTTGAATTTGTAATAATAACCTTTAAAAAGATATCTTTTTTAAATATTGAACACTATTAATAAACGTGTTAAAATTTTATAACACGATATCATTAAGAATATACAACAATCAGATGCAAGAGCTCACAGTGAGCATTCGTGGTTCTGGATGCACCCATTGCACCCATTATATCGTATTGTATCTCGTACACTGCCTGTAGCGCCGCTAGTATCATCTAACGGAAGAAGGTTGAGATGGACATTTTTCCCATCATAAAATTGGGCACTTTTCGAACTTTCTGTCTTAATATTTCCACTCACTTAGCATGTAGGACAAAAATAAACATAATTTCATTAACTAAATCGACCCTAAAGAATTGATTGAGCCTATATAGAATTTCATCCATTCAGCCATTATGGCCAAATGAGAAATGTTTGCGCTCAACTAGTTGCTCGGCGTAAATGATCCACGGCCGGCCTCATATAAGTTTTACTTGTAGAAACTTATTTTATGTACACATATATATACCTTAAAAAAATAATTTGAATTTGAAATTTACACTAAACATCTAAATATAGGATTACTGAAACAAATAGGATTATTAACAGGATTAAATGTAATTTTATTTTATCCAAGTAGAAATGAATTATAAGTTTCTTATATTGATATACAATAATTTAAAAACATAATAAACAAATGTTTTGTAACAGAAATGTTGTTTTAAACGTAAAATTCAATGCAAATTAATTAAGCATGTAGTATTGAATTTTACATAAAACTTTGTCTTCCGGCCTTCGTTATTATAAGTACTTTCATTGTGCAAAAGGATTTTTCAATCTGTACAGCTAATAAAAAGATTAGTGTTTGAAACTCTCTCGTATCTTCGTTCCCTCGATCACATGCTCATTAGGTTGCATTCATAATCAGTCGGAAGACGTTGTTATACTCCACACGTATGTCGTACACACCAATCACAACCACACATGTAATGTCTTAAATTAAATTAGCTATATATATACATACATATATATATATATAATTTAATTTATAATTAAATGTATGTATGTATATATATATACACACACATATACGAGGGCGGTCCGATAAGTACTTAGCCTCACCGCCCGATGGCGCCACTATCGCAAGAGAAATTTACTATCGTGTAGTACATTCTCGTAGACGGCTACTGTCGAAATTTCAGCCGAATCGGACTCGTAGTTTTGTTTTGACCGCGTGTGGAAGCGGGCGTGTCCGCGGATTTTAGAAAAATGGAAAAAGAGCAATATCGGTCGGTGATTCGATTCTTGTTTTTGGAAGGGAAATCGCGCAGCGAAATCAAAGAGCGCTTGGATGCTGTGTACGGTGACTCTTCTCCTTCAATGGCGACCGTCAAAAATTGGTTTAACGAGTTTCAACGTGGTTGCACGTCGGTTTTTGATGAGCCACGCCCAGATGCCCCGAAAGCGGCTACCACGGAGGATAAAATGACAAAAATCCACGATCTCGTATTGGCAGACCGCCGATTGAAGGTACGCGAGATAGCTGAGACAGTAGGCATCTCAAAAGACCGCGTGGGTCATATCCTGCATGAAATTTTGGGCATGAGAAAGCTGTCGGCGCGATGGGTGCCGCGTTTGCTCACTCCGGACAACAAGCGCAACCGTGAGACCACTTCAGAGCAGTGTTTGACGCTGTTTAAGCGCAATCCGAAGAAGTTTCTGCGTCGTGACCGTCGACAAAACATGGATTCACTGGTACACACCAGAGACCAAGGAACAGTCGAAACAGTGGACTTCACCCGGCGAACGTGCTCCGAAGAAGGCGAAGACTGTCCTATCGGCCGGAAAGGTGATGGCCACCGTTTTCTGGGATTCACAAGCTGTGATCTACATCGACTACCTGGAGAAAGGCAAAACGGTCACAGGGCTGTACTATGTCGAATTATTGGGCCGATTCGATGCCGAATTGCAGAAAAAACGGCCCCATTTGGCGAAGAAAAAAGTGCTTTTCCACCATGACAACGCACTGGCTCACACCTCCGCCCTCGCCACGGTCAAATTGGTCGAATTGGGCTACGAACTGCTGCCCCATCCACCGTATTCTCCAGATTTGGCCCCGTGCGACTTCTTTTTGTTTCCAAACTTGAAAAAGTCACTCGGCGGGCAGAAATTTGAGTCGAATGAGGAGGTCATCGCCGCCACGGAGGCCTACTTTGCAGACCTCGAGAAAACATATTTTTCAGACGGGTTAAAGAAGTTGGAGCATCGCTGGGTCAAGTGTATCGAGCTAAATGGAGACTATGTTGAGAAATAAATCGCCATTTTTCTAAAATTTTCGTTTTTCTTTTGTAGGCTAAGTACTTATCGGACCACCCTCGTATATATAATTT